TCCTTCACCACCTCATGTTTCACCACTTCATGAAGATACCACCATTGAAAATATTGTAGAACCACCACAACCGGCAGTTCTGAGAAGATCTCAGAGGGAAAGAAAGCCTGCCATTCCAGATGATTACATGGTGTATCTACAGGAATCTGATTTTGATATTGGGATTAACAAAGATCCAGTCTCATTTTCACATGCCATGAATAGTGATGATTCTACTAAATGGGTCAATGCTATAAATGAAGAGTTAAAATCCATGGAACAGAATAGTGTTTGGGATCTCGTCGAATTGCCTAATAATTGCAAAAATGTCTGGTGTAAATGGGTCTTCAAGACCAAGCGTGACGCAAAAGGCAATATCGAACGATTTAAAGCCAGACTTGTTGCCAAGGGTTTTACTCAAAAAGAAGGCATAGACTATACAGAGACCTTCTCTCCAGTATCTAAGAAGGAATCGCTTAGAATCATCCTAGCATTGGTAGCTCATTATGACTTAGAGTTGCATCAAATGGATGTGAAAACTGTTTTTCTAAATGGGAATTTGGATGAAGAAATTTATATGGAACAGCCGGAAGGATTTGCAAAGAAAGGTAAAGAACATTTAGCTTGCAAATTAAAGAAATCCATATATGGCACTAAACAAGCTTCCAGGCAATGGTATTTAAGGTTTAATAATACCATTACCTCTTTCAGATTCAAGGAAAATGCAGTTGATCAGTGCATATATCTGAAGGTTAGTGGGAGTAAGTTCATTATTTTGGTGCTATATGTGGATGACATTTTGTTGGCTAGTAATGACCTTGGCTTATTGCATGAAACCAAGGAATATCTCTCCAAGAACTTTAAAATGGTCGCTATGAGTGAGGCAAACTATGTTATTGGCATAGAGATCTTTAGGGATCGATCTCGAGAATTGCTAGGACTATCTTAGAAAGGATATAGTGATAGTGTTTTAGAGAGATTCAATATGCAGTTTTGTTCAGCCGGTGATACACCCATCACGAAGAGTGACAAATTAAGTGAAAAACAGTGTCCAAGGAATGACTTGGAAAGAAAACAAATGAAGGACATTCCATATGCTTTGAGGCTACAAATCATGCTTTATGGTTGCAAAATTTCATCTTAGGACTTCGTGTTGTTGACTCAATTGCCAGGCCGCTGAGGATATATTGTGACAATATCGCAATAGTTTTCTTCTCTAAGAATGGAAAGTACTCCAGTGGTTCCAAACACATGGAAGTAAAGTATTTAGTCGTTAAAGAAAGAGTCCAGAAACAACAAGTGTTAATTGAAAACTTAAGCATCTCTCTTATGATTGCTGATCCATTCACAAAGGCATTGCCACCAAAGACATACAAAAAGCATGTTACCAGGATGGGTCTTCTAAGTAACCCTTAA